AGTTTGGACAAAAGATCTCTAACCTGATCCTCCTCAACCAAGGGAGAGTCTTCCTTTCTCCAGACTTCCTCTCTTGTCTCCAAGGTCTGGAATTCCTCAGGACTGGCCTTAGCAGTGAAGACGGAAGCAAAGAAGGCATTCAATAACTCTGCCTTCTCTGTAGCCTTTGTCACCAGGGCACCCGCCCCATTCAGCAGTGGGCCCACGTTTTCCCTAGTCTTCCTTTTGCTATTGATGTATTTGAAGAAGGCCTTCTTGTTGTCCTTGACATCCCTTGCCAGATTTAATTCCAACTGGGCCTTAGCCTTCCTTGTCGCATCCCTATGCTTGTCCAGGCCAGGCTGAGTGAGATGAGCCTTACGCAAGGCTAAGGGACATTAGTCCCAACCACAGACAGTATGAGGGGCTCTCAAAGGAGCACTTTGCTTTCTCTAGTCACTTGCCTCTCTAGCTCTCCATTACCTCCAAAATCCAAGGAATTCAGAAGAGCTGCAGTATGGCAGGATAGGTATGGTATGTCAGCTCATAGGATGCTCAGATTTAGGATGATAGAGCCTACAGCAGACAGTGGACAAAATAGGAAGTGGACACAGGAGCACAACAGTGGAGTGAAACACATCTCTTCCAGCTTCAGACTAAGAGCTGTCGTTTCCCTCTCTAAAATCCTGGCGTTGGAATGAAAAGATGACAGGAACCAAGAGTCACCTCACATACCCCAGAAAAAAAGGGGCAAAGAATACTTGGCCATGAGCATTGATACCTTCACAGCTGGACAAAGAGTGAAGAGCTTCTGCCAAAGATGTGCTGAGACCCCACACCACATGGGGGAAGAGCCACACAAGCAAAAGTCAAAGGGGCACAGAGAAAGGATACAGAGAAAACAGGCCTGGGAGAAGAAATCTAGGAGAAGGAGCCAGGCAGAGGCACCCTCACAGTCAACTGCTCATCACAGGCAGAGAAGGAAAAAAGAGACAAGACAGACAGGGAAGGAAGCTCCACAACCCTCCAAGTATTCTAGGTAGCCCAACAGAAGCAGGCCAGGCTGGCTTCCCCCGCCCCCAACCCCATCACCTCCAATCAGGCCAAGCAACTTCTGTCCTTGCACTACGCTTTGTGGAGCCAGGCCTCTTCTCCTGACCCAGCCAGCTAAAATCCCCTCTTAAGCAGTGAAAGGTACACACTGACAAGTGGAGCTAACATGCCAACCTCATCACTACTTCTTCCTTACTTTTCCAGCGCTAAACAAGCTCTCAGTCCTGGGTATCCTTCTGGCAGCTCCCAACCTCAGAGCTCCAGAAGTAGCAGAGAGCATTCCAACATGCGCCATCTCTGTTATGCTCTCCCAAGACAGTCAGGCCCCAGCTCAAACAGGGAACGAAAACATGAAAGCTCACTGGAGCAAGGAACAGAGAAAGGACAGCAGTAGGAAGGTAGAACGGGTTATGAGGAAGCATCTTAGGCAGACACCTCTGATCAAGCTGAAATGCCATGGAAACACAATCAAGGAGAAAGGTGCTGGCTTTCTGGGAGTTACACTTTCAAAGGCAAAGGAAAGCAGGGTCTTGGGAAGAGAAATATAACAGTTCCAAAAGCAGAAATTACTGAACTGGATTTCATAACCCAGAAGAGTGTTTCCTGCCAGGTCCAAATCCCGAGACTCCCTTGTTTCACTCATGCCCTACAGGCCCCTTTCAACTCACACTCAAGTTTTACTGGCTATCTCTAAAGTGTTCCACAGTATGAGGCCAGATTTTAACACAAAATACAGAGATACCAGCAATCCTAAGCAGTGGTAAGCTTCCTGAGCAATACACATGAGGAGAACAAATATATCCGATTTCTCAACTGCCACATACTTATCTTTGACAGAGGAAAAAGTTGTCTTCAGTTGTGAAAAGTATGGGAGAGCAGGCCTACCTACAGCCTGCCAAATTGACCTTCTCAGAGCTTGAAAAGCAAGTGGGACAGAAATGCTTCTTTGTCTGTCTATTAAATCTTAAAATAATAATGTGCAGGAGAATCCTACCCTCTGGCTCTATGCATTGAGCAAAGGGGAGGATGGACGAAG